AGTACTAAACAGTTTCTTTCCTTAAATTACATTAGTTAAAGAATGAAATAAGGACTTCAGGAATGCAATTGTAGATCATAAATAATAAGATAAAAGGAAGATACCATCTCAAATGTTGCCTTTCTAAATTTACATTTAAAACATACACTCATCGGCCACTTTATTAGGTACCCCATGCTAGTAATGGGTTGGACCCCCTTTTGCCTTCAGAACTGCCTCAATTCTTCGTGGCATAGATTCAACAAGGTGCTGGAAGCATTCCTCAGGGAGTTTGGTCCATATTGACATGATGGCATCACATAGTTGCCACAGAATCACATGGATGTGCAGCCATGTGATTGGCTGCACATCCATGATGCGAATCTCCCGTTCCACCACATCCCAAAGATGCTCTATTGGATTGAGATCTGGTGACTGTGGAGGCCATTTGAGTACAGTGAACTCATTGTCATGTTCAAGAAACCAGTCTGAGATGATTCCAGCTTTATGACATGGCGCATTATCCTGCTGAAAGTAGCCATCAGAAGTTGGGTACATTGTGGTCATAAAGGGATGGACATGGTCAGCAACAATACTCAGGTAGGCTGTGGCGTTGTAACGATGTTCAATTGGTACCAAGGGGCCCAAAGAGTGCCAAGAAAATATTCCCCACACCATGACACCACCACCATCAGCCTGAGCCGTTGATACAAGGCAGGATGGATCCATGCTTTCATGTTGTAGACGCCAAATTCTGACCCTACCATCCGAATGTCGCAGCACAAATCGAGACTCATCAGACCAGGCAACGTTTTTCCAATCTTCTATTGTCCAATTTCGATGAGCTTGTGCAAATTGTAGCCTCAGTTTCCTGTTCTTAGCTGAAAGGAGTGGCACCCGGTGTGGTCTTCTGCTGCTGTAGCCCATCTGCCTCAAAGTTCGACGTACTGTGCATTCAGAGATGCTCTTCTGCCCACTTTGGTTGTAACGGGTGGTTATTTGAGTCACTGTTGCCCTTCTATCAGCTCGAACCAGTCTGGCCATTCTCCTCTGACCTCTGGCATCAACAAGGCATTTCCGCCCACAGAACTGTCGCTCACTGGATGTTTTTTCTTTTTCGGACCATTCTCTGTAAACCCTAGAGATGGTTGTGCGTGAAAATCCCAGTAGATCAGCAGTTTCTGAAATACTCAGACCAGCCCTTCTGGCACCAACAATCATGCCACATTCAAAGTCACTCAAATCACCTTTCTTCCCCATACTGATGCTCGGTTTGAACTGCAGGAGATTGTCTTGACCATGTCTACATGCCTAAATGCACTGAGTTGCAGCCATGTGATTGGCTGCTTAGAAATTAAGTGTTAACGAGCAGTTGGACAGGTGTACCTAATAAAGGGGCCGGTGAGTGTATTTTATATAGACACTATAAAAAAGATTTTCTTGATGTTTTACCTAGAGGTTTTATTTAGAAGCTTTTTGCTGTTTCAGTGTCTGATCTGATAAAAATCATAAATGCATTCCTTATATCTGGTGTTTTCCCCCGTGCCTTAAAAAGAGCTATTATCAAACCATTGTCGAAAAAGAGAAACTTGGAAAAATTGTTCCTGCAGAACTAAAGACCCATCTCAACCTCCCCTTTATCAGAAACATTGTTGAAAAAGTTGTGTTTTAACAGCTAAATACCTTCTTAACAATGACTAACTACTTTGATGTCTTTCAGTCAGGTTTCCGTGCCAACCACAGTACAGAGACTGTCCTGATTAAGCTTTTCAATGACAATTATATAAATTCAGACTCTGGAAGATTTACATTGCCTGCAATGTTGGAACTCAATCCAGCGTTTGACACTATTGATCAATTGATTTTATTGTAGCATCTCGAAAACTGGATCAGCCTTTCTGGTACCACCCTGGAATGGTTTAAATCCTACCTGAAGGATATGAACTTTTATGTCAGTAGGGACCTTTAAATTAGAGACCAGAAAAATCACATGCAGTGTTCCTCAAGGCTCCATTCTGGGGCCCCTCCTAGTCAACATATAACTGTACATGCTCCCCTTTGCTCAGTTAATAGCAAACAACAAGATCAGTTACCATAACACTGCAGACGACACACAGCTTTACATCACAATGTCACCAGGTGACTATGAACCAATTAGGGCATTGGCCAGATGTTTAGAACAGATCAATGTGTGGATGTGCTATGATTTTCTCCAACTGAAGAAAAACAAAACTAAAGTAATAGTCTTCGGACCAAAGGAAAAGAACTCCAGAGTTAGCCATCAGCTTCCATTACTACAGCAAGAAACCACTGATTATGGCCAAAATCTTGGTGTAATGATAGGCTGAGCTCCGACCCTTCAGAGGCAAACAACAGCAGTTACTAAGTCATCCTTTTATCACCTGAAGAACATTTCCAGGATTAAATGACTAATATCTAAGCAGGATCTAGAAAAATAATTCTTGTTCATATATATCTTTACGGAATTGATAACTATTCTAATGTATTCATAGGTTTGCCTATAAAGTTCTTCAGACTGCTGATCCAAAATGCTGCTGCCGCCAATGGTCTCACTAGAACTAAGAATATAGAGCACATCAGCCTAGTTCTAAAGTCCTTCCACTGGCTCCATGTAGCTCAGACATTTTAAAATCCTTATGTTAGTCAATGAATAAATGAATGAACGCATCAGCATCTGAGTAGATGACAGATTTGTTGTCAGTGTATCAACCTCCCAGACCTCTCAGGTCTTCTAGTTCCAGCCTACTCTGTATACCCAGAACAAGATCCAAACATGGAGTATTAGCATTTAGTTTCTATGCTCCACTGATCTGGAACAAACTCCCAGAAGATTGAAAAAGTGCTGAAAGCCTGAGTTCTTTTAAGTCAAAATTAAAAAGCCATTTGTTTAGAGCTGCCTTTGGCTGTTGAACTGATGTAGTCTTAGTTTAAGGTCCAACTGTTTTATTTGTTTTACTGTCTGCTTTTATAATTTTTTTAATCTTTGTTAGCTTTTATTCTCTATTTATTTTTCTTCTATTTTCATGTAAAGCACTTTTAGTTGTCCTTGTTCTGAAATGTTATATAAATAAACTTAGAAAATCATATTGTGAGTTCTTAACTCTTAAAAGTGATGTAAACACACAAGTGTATCATCTCATTATTAGGTATTTTGGAGTTTGGAGATGTTTAAAGCTTAGACATTCAGTTAGATAAGCTCAAATTTTACTTTTTTTTTAACTTTAGTGGCTTTTACTGTATATGGGAGTCACAAGACAGAAATGGGATGTAGAGAGAGTGGGGGATGACAAGCAGCGAGAAAAACAAGACATTTACTTTAACTAGATGCACTTTACAAATGCATACATATACATACATATATATATATATATATATATATATATATATATATATATATATATATATATATATATATATATATATATATATATATATATATATATATATATATATATATATATATATATATATATATATATATATATATATATATATATATATAAATATATTTATAAGCAAAATACAAAAAAAAAAAATTCTGTGCAACTTCAGAAAAAATATTGGATGTTATGGGCAGAGTTAAAATGAATTGGGAACACGTTGAGCGGAGCAACAGCATGACTAGTGCGAGAAATTCAGCACCATGGACAGAGTAAACGCGTCTTCACTGTCTATGGTTCTGAAACACAATGTAGAGTTTTACCCAAGATTTAGACGTTTGGAATGATAAGTATAAATTAGACTATGCGACATTATCACTTTAACTTGTCTTAAAAATTTGTTTATATTATCAGGATTAATTTGAAGTGTATTTTTTTGTTTTATTAGATTTTCAGCCTCTAACAACTTTAGTATACATTATTATTTCACTTAATATTCCTTGGGTATAGAAATAAAGTCTTAAAGAATTTGGAAGTACAGTAACATTTTTGTGCTCCTCCAGGTTGGATATTGTTTATAAAAGTGAGAAATCGTCAGCAGGTGTTACAGAGCGGCACAGCAATCAAATCCCAGCAGCCTATAGATGGGGACAATCTCATCCCGAGGATCAGCATTTCTAATGATGAACTAAAAATATAGCTGTTCTCTTTTATGTGACTACATCAGATGCTGATGACATGTATAAAGCTTCTTATATATTCACCCAGCCTGCTCTGTGCTGCTGTTGAACCACCGTCTATCTGCTGTAACATAAAAGCACAGTAAATCACCCTTTGGCTGTCAAGCAGTTGAGTCTGCCCCGCATAAAGCCTATGCAGCCTTTTCCCCCTCCCTCCTTCTCTCTCCTCCTCCTCCACATTCAGTGCTCCCTCTTGCGCGCACTGTGAGCATCAGCATCAGCAGCAGCAGCATTAAGCGGCGGCAGCACCGCTTCTCTGACGCACTATCGGAGATGAAAATCCCAGTCCCGCAGGCTGTCAGGACAGACTCTCCCGACCTCCCTTTTTTCCCCCGGAATTTTGCAATCAACCTCTCAACTTCAGCTTTGTTCATGCGTTTTTGTTTTTCTTTTTTTCGTGTTAACCTCTTACCTTAAATATGTCACTATCATTTGACTCTGACAGAGCGTTTAGCAGCAATGCACATTTAACATCTCTTAACCGGGAATTTACTCTGAAGGGAAGAACTGTCGGCAGAAGTAATTGATTTCTATGTACATCTGCTGGCTCTTTTTTCCCTCTGCATCGTTCAGAACATCTTGTGATAAGTGCTTCAAAATTAGGAGCTGTGTTAAATTTCAGGAAATCGTTTAGATGATGGACACAGAAAGGCTATAAATCTCCCTTCTCAACGCGACTCTGAGCCCTTGGAATATTCTTAACGGAGGTGTTGAAAAAGCAGAATTACTGTCTCAGTTGCCCTATACTGCAGGGTGGCTGCTGAGCGTCTTCTGCTTTAGATTCATTTTGTTTTGTTTTTTTGGGCATCTGAGCATCCCCAAACTGCGATGCCCGGGCAGTGAGGTACACGGTGGGATTTCGCTCTGGTCACCCATTCGCATGGCTCCAGCCCGGAGGGACTGCAACGGCTGGGAGATGTTCCTCCCAGCGGGATGCCTGCTCCTATCCGCTTTGCTGTTTCACCCCGGTGTTGCAAAGGTGTGCAACGACCGCACCAAACACGGACAGGACAACAGCTGGTTCACCAGGGACGGAGAAAACTTGCCCATAATGGTGCTGATGCCAATGAACGAGTCGGCCCTGATGAGCAGCATCAGCCAGGGGATCGAACCAGCGGTGCAGCTGGCCATCCAGCACATACGGGAGTCCAGGAATTACCGTTTCTCACTCATCACCAAAATCTATGACACTGAGGTAAACATGTGTGTGCGCGTGCGTGTATGTGCACACACACATTCCCCTGCAGCACTTCACTCTGTGTGTGCAAAGGGCTATATGCTGCTTCTTGTTTCATTTTTAGTGTTCATGCATCCTTGTTTTTGATAACAATGCTCCTATTGCACCAAAGTGATTGACAGCTGTACAGTATGGATGGTTATGCCATCCCTGTTGTTGATGTCACCATCAGCCACTGCATCATGTGTAAACACTTCCCTACAGTGGCCACAAGAAAGGCATTCACCAAATTGGCTTTCATTGTGATGTTTCACTCTGTTTTTATGAACGTCACTTTATAACGTTGTTTTTTTTAGTCACGAATCGGTGCATCTTTGTGGAGATTAAATAACCGCTTCTTATCACGCCTGAAGATGGCGGTAATTGGACGAATGATGTGCCCCTCTTTAAACTGAATCAAATCTCCCTGTATTTAAACTCTGCACAGTCGCAGTTCTTGGGCCAACCCCCACAGTATAGAGGATAGATTCCTGTTATATTTCTGTTGGTAATTACATTTTCTGAGCTCAGCTTCATCACGTCTAGAATTAAACTGTTTCAGGGATTTCTGAATTCCTCAAAGTGTGAAAAGAAGTTGCATTTTTTTATGGTTAAAATCAGTTGATATATATTTGACATCAGACATTATGTTTGGTCATTTGCAACACAATGTTTTTGTTGTTTTTGTCATTATTGAATGTTTCATCTGTCAATCTGTTTCTTTCTCTAAATTACTCAAAGCTTCAGACACCAGGTTCCTCTTACACTAGAAAAAAAAATCTAGATAAAGCATTTTTTTTTTTTCCTTAAAATAAATGCATTTGTTTTTGGATTGATGAGGTAAAAGCACAACATTTTGCCAATGCAACAAGACAATTTACACTTAAAATAAGAAAACACAATTGCTTTGCCTTATTTCAAGTGCATATTATCTAATTATCTCATTTTAAGATTAAATATACTAACTCCATTGCCAAACTATCTCATGTACCAACTCAAATTAACGGTAAATACACTTGATTTAAGACATTTTTATTTATTTCTAGATCGTTTTTCCAGTGAACACCTCATATGATCTGGAGCACTCAGTGTCAGATTGCCACTCTGCATTTGTACATTTAAACAAGAAATGTACAAATACACATAAAAAAAAAAACCTTTCATCAAACCATGATTTTTTTTTAGATGCAATATTACATGATGCATTCTTTATATCAATAATGCACACATTGCATTAGCTATATAGTTCCTTTAATATTATAATCCAATCCAATGGAAGCAAGTGATTTTTTTATTTTACTTTTATATTGGATATTTTGAATCATTAAACAACTATATATGCGACTAAAACCTATATTGGATATTTTGAATAATTAAATAATTATATACACGACTAAATACCAAATAGCTTTTTGCTAATAAAATGCATAAATTGAGCCTCAAAGGTGCTATCTTTATGTGTCTGTTCAGATTTTGAGATTTCTGTGAGGACTGATTTAATTCTGCAATAATGACAAGAAACCAGGTTGTTCCAAATAATATTCCAATTGCTTATCCCTGTAATGCCAAATGTATCATATTTGATACATACGGTTTCTGAAATGTTTTGCGTCTGACACCTTTTGCATAAATTAATGGTAAAAACTTTTCTCAAAATCCTATTGTACACAATTAAATATACCTGATAACAGCCAGTAGAAGACTACACAAAAAATAATCTTGACTTATCGCAAAGTAATAAATTATTAATAAATTAAAAATGTATTCGTTTTTTCTTTTTACATATTTTGTTAAAAGGCCAAATAAGGACTTCAAACCAAAAAAAAGTAATTTTCTGTTTTGCTTTATTCTTGGATCGGGCTTTAAAGGGTCAAAACGGTACGTGATTACATCACAGCCCTCTTAATGGAGTCACAATGGCCCCTTTAACAGCAATAACAATTATTACAACACTTTTCTATGCCGGATCACTTCCCTGCTTAACCCCCTCTGCTCATCCCCACTCTTGGCAATCCCTGCACAGCCCAGTTTGGTAGCAGTTTTTTAAAAATTTGTCTGGGAGTGGGGTTATACCTTATTTCACGCTTGGTTCCCCTTTGAACACAGATCAGAATTTCAGCTGGTTTCTGTCTTTCAGAAAGCTGTGCTGATTCAATATTTTTCAAATACTTACTTCTCCTTTAAAGCAACCTATATAGTTAGACTTAAGAAAAAAAAAATTATATATATATACAGTATTGACCACACCAACCAAGACTAAGTAGTACTGAGACCAATACCTTCTGGTCTCGGTCTTTGTGTCAGCCTCTAAAGCTCGTAGCCTTGTCTTAGTCTCGGTACTCCTTGGTCTTGCTTGGTGTGGTTTTAGACCGTTATACTGAAAAAATACTTGAGTGTAAAATAATCAAATATGGTTTTAGTAATTTAAAGCACATGAGACATAGATATAGCATTGACATTCCGATTAGTTTTTGCGTCGTTAATTAGAGATTAGTTACCTTGGTAGGACATTAGACTTATTGTGTATTCCCATGGAAAAATAACCATATCTTATATGTTTAATGACAGACAGTGGTGAAAAAAACAAAACAAAGTTGTGCTTTACTACATTAAGTCCACATTATCCACCAAGCTTGCTTAAATGCTCAATGAACCACATACATGTCTCATAATGGTGTAGTAAACACACTTTTTTATTTTAGATACCTTCTTCCATGTCTATGGTACCCCTAGATTCACATGAAATGCATTGGCGTCAGTGAAAATAGCCTAATTTCTTATTCACTCAATGAAAGCACAAACTCGTTGCTTTTGTTGCCTCCTAGCAGTGTGGCAGGTTTGCAGATGAGATTTGTATGTTTCTGACCTTTTGGTCACCATTCCTGGTTGATCAGATGAAAATCAGATAACCAGTTGTCTTAACTTTCCTTCTCAAGTTGGTTTCCTATTAAGTTTAGTTAATCTGTAATTTTTTACCATCAATATTAAGACTGGGACTGCTTACTGTGTAATTCAAATTAATATTTCTGTCCTTATGTTAGGGAATGAGACACCATAGCACTAAGCTAGTCAAACTATTGTCTTAAGATTGCATAAAGTGACATATCAAATATCTATAGAACTGTTTTTTTTTATCAATAAGTTAGCAGAGATCGTTTTGCTTTCTCTAGCAAACATGCCTGTGTTTTTGCATGTGCACAGGTGCGTTTGTGTAAAACAGTCAGACAAAGCTCTGTTGACCGGGGTAAGCCCTCAGAGGCAAAATGCTCAGAAACCAAGGGATTAATATGCTGTTATGTGAGGTATGATTTTTCTCCTCCAATCCCCTAGAGAGTAAGATGAGCTGGAAGCAAGAGGTCAGTGGGCCATCCTCGGACGGCTTGCTAGGAATGCCAGTGTTCCAATACTGCCAATCAGTGATAACTCATAAGACTGTACTCTTACTTGACAATGTTATAGTGAGAGGGTGAACACAGCAGAATAATATATTTGAACTCTTTCATGTATTTTTTTTCACTTAAACTCTTGCTTATCATGCTTTTAGACAACTCTAAAACAAAACATTAGATAAAATACGGTTATTATCAGCACTTTAAACCATCAGTGTTTTCCTTTAAGTAATAGTCTGTAGCAGGGGATCTGCAACCTTTACAATCCAGAGAGCCATTTTTGACTTCAGTCCAGCTAATAAACCACATTTAGAGCCACAAGCATTACATGACCTTAAAAGAAAAATACAATAAAAACTTATTTTTAATCATTATTTACCACAGGAGATTTGGCATTGTAAAAAACCACCATCTATCTTATTTTTTTGTTTTTGTTTTAAGGGAAAAAATATGTAAAGAGAATAAATACATTTTCATTGCTGAAATATGTAGAAAATTGTTAAAACAAAAATTTTCTTCTTAAAAAAGGAATAGTAAAACATTTCTGTTATATTTAGAGTCATTGTATTTTGGAATTCAATGCAGTTGGAAACATAGAAAAAATGCTAAAGCCTGCATTTGTGAGAATATCTGACTCCTATCTGTCTGTCTGTCCATCCATCTATGTGCTGGATACAATAAATGTTAATTTGACAGAATCCTACAGCAACTTATAAAAATTAAGAATTATTAAACAGGCAACTTAAAGGTAAGAGAGACCCTTTTCTTGGCTCAGATAGAATGCTATGGAATGCTATTAGTTATTAATGATCCCACTGACGTGTTTATACTGTCTGAAGCTTGTGCTGTTAAGAATTTGTCATCCAGGATTTCATTACATGTTTAATTCTTAATAATATATAGTTCGAGCATGATTAAATGGCCTGAGCTCACACACATGCTTAGACAAACACACACACATACATAGTTTTCTGCATACCACATGCTTATGTCAGAAAAAACAATACATGCATGAGTGCATTTGTTGCTGCTAGCAGCAGGCCAAGTGTGTGCCCATCAGACGTTTGTACATGTGTGAGTGTCTATGGTGCAGGCACTGGGATTTAGCTTGGCAGATGTAAGTAATCAGTCCCTGAGCAGAGTCTTTTTATCCCTTTATCCCCTGTCAGTGGAGCCACCGGTAGACTGAGCAGGCCCAGTCCATTTCCCCTGATGTTGTGGAACTGGGCGGTGGTGCTGGTGATGCTAAAGGGGAGGCTCTCTGGGGTTGTTCAGTGGTGAAAGGCCTGAGAGAAGAGGTTAGTTAGGGCGAGGAGGAGGCTGAAAGTACTGTAGAGGAAAATGGGCTGTAGATAAGAATCTTTGGGGTTAGTGTGAAACTATTGTGATCAGACTGACAAGACACCCCTGGGATGTATCAGTAATTTAGGCATTTTAGACTCAAAGCACAGCCGACAATGCCTCTATGGTTTAAAACCAGAGTGTTTTGAGGTGGAAAAGAAGCAGGAAGGATTATATCAACTTAGAGGCTTAACAGTAAGGCACACGTTGGTCCTCCGTTGCAACTCCAGATGTGTGAGCTTGGGTTTT